CACTCCACAGACCAGTGGCGTGCCTAGAATTGGCGGCGACCACTACTCCTGTGTGCCGCCGCCCGGGGTGATAAGCAGTTACTTTCTAATTACAGTTTTAGAAAAAACGACGATCAAAATTGGGAAAGTTCTCAATAAATTATCTATGAGAATGGACGTATCCACTTTCTTGTTCCCCCTTAAGGCTGTAGTCATTTGCAGCGTTTTGAACACGCCCTTGTTAAGTTAGGAAATGCTTCAAGAGCAGTACACGCAAAGTAAAAAGAGATAACCGAATAATAATAAGCGGTGCAGTTGTTGCAGGTTGCTTAGGTACGCAAAAGATCAGGGTTGGCTTTAAAACTACCTGGTTGGAATTATATCTTTAAACAAGCGTCTAGCTTTCCCAAATTCCTGAAGATGAATTTTTTTTAGTCCTATGCTAGCAACATCCTCAAATTTTCCTTGTCTGCATCTCCTTCTGTTACACATCTACTGGTGTAATGTTATTCCTTTTTTTTAATAGTGTCCGCTGCAATTGCTATCTGACATCTCTTTTTTGTGTTTATGGTATTCCCTATTAGAAACCGCTCTGGTCTAGTTAGTAAGTTGAAAGAAGAAAGTAAATGCGACAGTTTTATTGCGAACTATGCCAATTTTGTACGTCTCAACTATATGTAAATACGTGTTAAATTTGTGTATTTGTTGTAATCAGGTAACTTCGAAAGAAAATGTAATTTTGAATATTTAGTGATATTTTTTTTGAATAAGTAAATGAAGTAGGTAGGTACCTATATGTATTCTTTACTACAGGTAATTTCCTACCTATACGAAAGACTTTTGTTTAGGTGTGAACACCAGGTGAAAACCGTGTGCCCTAAAAACCGATAACCATCAAAAAGTGATCAATCAAATAACAATGTTTATTAAATTGGATTTCAACACTTCGCATGAACAGGCTTTTGTTGCATAAATGGTTAACACCGCTTTTTAACTGGACAAACATTATTGACATAGCCTGATACATACGTACATGCATAATATACAATTACCCGCGTATTATAAATGGTTTGCGAATTTCAACACAATACAAAAACATTACATACGCTTCAATTTACAAAATAATGATTTAGCTTACAAAATAAAAAGTTATAGTGCAGTCAAACAACTCCACAACTCGCCTTTAGTTTATGGATTTTGTTATCAACTAGCATATTATTGATTGCTAAGTAATTGTGACAGATCACAAAATAGACAATAAATTGTATAATAATTTTTAACTTTTCCACATGATGCGTCACTCCGTCAATCTATTTAATATTTTATCAACAATTTAAAAATAGTTTAGCACGAAATTACACGTTTTTAAGGTTCTATACTTCAAATGGACCAAAGGATTCCTTATTGAATCACCTCGTTGTCCGTCTGTCTATACGTCAAGTCCCTTTTTCTCAAGAACGCGTAGAAGTATCAAATTCAAATTAATATCAAACATTCATGTTTGCAATCTCTTCGAGCTGTGAAAAAATGAAACTTCTACGTCAACGCAATCAAAAGATACGACCGTTTAATTCGTTTTTGTTCTGCTTCAATAGTTTTACATATTTTATTGGCAAATGCTTCGGGAAGGCTTTCCATATATATTTCACGTAACGCAAAATTTTTAAATTTTTGACCACTCTCCCCTCACTTACGTAACGCGAATACGGACCCCTTTCCACCAGACATAACGTCCAACCCGGACTCCTCCATCTCCCCAGTTAGCGTTACGTAATTTATAGATAACCCACAGTCCACTATATTAAATTACCAGATATTTTGTTAGTTTTCATAAAAAAAGCAATATCATCCAAGACGGAGATAAATAAATTTTTACGGCAAAGCAAAAATTACAATTTTCGATTGTAAATGACCGAATTTGCAATAGAAATAGTAGAATTTATTAGGTAACTTGTAATAATCTCAATTTTGACATGGTTTTTTAAAAGTTATTTCAAGTTTCTTAATTATTACAATTTAATTTATAATATTAACTAAAATATTGTATCTTTTATTATTTTCGCTTACGAAACGACGTGCTAGAGGGATAAATTGTAAATATCGCTTTAATATTTAGCTAATTTTCCATTTTCATTTTCTCTGTATACGTCTATTTTTTGCAATAATTGACGTTGTCTATTACATATGTAGGTAGGTCTATTATTTACTTTTTCCGTAAGTTTTGCATAAACGCCATATAATAGTATCTATTTTCTTTTCTTCACTTTTACTTAAGTCTTGGTTGAGCGCCAGAGTGGAATAATAACATACGGCATGTATATGTATTATAACTAATTAAATATTTCGTTTATGTGTCATTGAGATTCAGTACAATGGGTAAAAATGTTTAGCTATTGACTCAACCTGTCTGTCATGCTTTGATGAAAACGAAAGTACTCCGGCAAGTAAAAAAAAAAAAATAAATATAAAATGCATTCGTTTAGGTAGTGGACTCGCTCTCATTTCAGTTTTTGCAAGCTATGGATAAATTTGTTTACCTAATATTACTATTGCTCGGCCATTGCTACGTCTCCATGGTTACGGTATTGTTGCTGCTGTCGGCCATTACAATTCGCAATTGTTGTCGCATTGTTGTTATGGTCGGCCATTATTCTTTTCTAATTGTTGCCGTAGATGAAGATGTTCGGATAAAACACTATATGTAGCTATAACAATTGTTCCAATAAAATGATTGAATAAATATGCTTTATATTAATTTATATTTATATAAACCTTCCCATCATTACTCTCTCTTTAGCCACTTGATTTATAATAAATATATATTTCCTATCTCCACTTCCTTCTATAGTATTCCTACCATTTCCTTCAATCCCACCCAATTGCCCAATTAAATACCAATGAATGGCAAATATTTTGTTGTAAAAAATCTATTAGCATGTGTCAAACTCCAGTGGTAAATCCTCCTTTACAAGTAAAACCTAAGATTTGGAAGCATTCTTAACATATTGAATTGAAAGTAGTGATTTATTCGACTTGCCTGCGACATACGCAGGTATATATGTATATATCTATAATTAATAAAAAGACAGAAAATTGGATTTTAATTTATTTATTTGTACTTGGTAACTTTCTTTTTCCTTACATTGAAACTCCTACGTTTACATCAAATACGATGTAGCGATGCGAGAAGTAGAGAGAAAGTAAAAACGTTACATATTTTAGTTGCGTGTGGTGTCATTTTTTATTATTCAAACGAAGAACTAATAATTATTTATTCTCGTTTTATGGCTTCAAGAAAAAGTACAAAATATCATTAATTCTACGTTCGAGTTCATAGAACTTTAAGAAGTCGNTTATTAGAAATTAGAAAAAAAAAACAGCGTTATATCAGTTGAACCATATAATCAATTTCGTGATATAGCAGGTGAAGGGGGGGGGGGGAAAGCCGCACACATATTAACATCACTGTGTCAAACAACTTGAATTATCAATGAAATTAATATAGAAAGTATATTAAACTTATATTATCACACAGAAATGATAAATAATGGAAAATACACTTAAAAATCCATTAAATTTCTGTAATGTATATACTCATATCAAAATTTATTGTTTTAAAATTTTAATGTATTGAATCAAATGTTACTTTTTAACGATAAAAGTATTTGTATTTTAATATGAAACTGTGTTTGTTAATAACTTAGAACATTTTACATTAAAATACAAATGGTAAATAATAAAGTTTATATTCTCATAATCCTACAAACAATTGAAGTTTCTAACTCAATGCAATACAAAAATACTACCTTTGCAGGTATGTTTTTATGCAGATTGATTTAATTTTTTTTTTACAGCTTTCAAAAAAGTTAAACTAAAAAAGTTGTTTAATTTTAGATACCGAGAAACCGTACAAAATTCATCACAATTCGCAAGCTATCAATGCTACTCGTATCTATTTTTTTTAATTCTCTTCTAGTACAGAAAATAAAATTATCGTACTTAGAAATCAATTAACAAAAACAAACACGTTTTGTGGCATTAAGAAAGTGACATTAAACAATTGTTTATTTGTTTAACGCAAGTTTCAAATGATATGTTAAACAAACGAATTTAAATTAAGGTTCTACTAGCTAGCAGATGTTCTACACACATGAGTAACGTGTAAATTATTGTATTTATACATATACAAATTACATAATTGTATATTGTAATACTACCAATACAACAATTAAAATAACGATAACAATTAGGTATTTAATTAAATTATTGTATTTATACATATACAAATTACATAATTGTATATTGTAATACTACCAATACAACAATTAAAATAACGATAACAATTAGGTATTTATTAAATTATGCGGCAAAACCTTTAAAAATATAAAATTGAATTTCTTAAAAGATATTGAAATATTTAAACTGTTGATTGTTGAAGTTGTAAACTATTGAATCTTACTATAATAATTAAACTAAACACTACAATTAGTAAATGTTTCAATGAAATTGATTCGGTTTTCAGATGAAAATATTTTCTTGAATCTTTTACTAATCAATTAAATTAAACTTTCTGCTATGAAAACCAATTTCTTGACCTTAAAAATTGGTATTTCGCTATTACTGTTAGTCCCCGAAATATTTGGTACCTACTTGCCCGATCATATTAGTTGGGGAGATGTTTTATTATTTGCGTGTGCTTATGCCTTATCTATTCTGTATTAATTAAGTAATTTTTGGATATATCAAACCAAAGTATCTTACTGAAAAATCGCTTGTGATTCAACGATTCAATCGACCATAACTGTTGACAGTAACGATTGACTACAACCATTTAGAATACGATTTGAAATTGGAATTCGTTTTTTAAAACTATCCTTAACTTTTGCTGTTAGTATTAAATGAGCATGTATTACGTTTTATGTACCTATATTTATTTTGTTATTTATGTTTTATATATATAACATTCGTTATCCTAGGCAATTTGGATAAAATTACCATTAGGTGCCTCTTATAATTCTTACCTTTTCTGCTTCGTTTCCTTATCATAATAGACACTGTTGTATAAACCTATGGTTTTGTTGAGGGTATTACCACTGAATGCAATGTTCAAAAAGTACATTCCAGGAACAAGTCTCATTCGGGGAACCACATAAATTACCTCGTCTTCGTCGTCCTCTCTTATATTTTGAACCGCGATGGCTTTCGACCGATTATAGTACACTAAATCGGCCGAATGAATACTTAAATTCTTACTATGTAACACAATATCACTCCTAGTTTTAATAATTGTAAGGGTAATGTTAACTCGCCCCCTGAACCCGTTGCTAATAACACTGGGGTACAAGTAGAGGTCGTAATGAATCGGTACAACATCCCGGGGGAGCCTTAGTAAACGAGGACTCCCGTCAGCACCCCGTCCACTGTTTCCCAGAATGTTCCTCCCCTTGGATGCACTCGTGGAAGTAGTCATCCCCAGCGCATGGTAAACATCGGGATTCTTGGACAAGTGCTTGCCAATAAGCACTAGAGCTGCTACAAGGCACGCGCAAAGTATAAACAAAAAAATACAGCAACTTAGAAGAATGGAAAAGGCGGTTCTTTTGGGGGCTGTTTTGCGCCGTTTAATGGGGGTTGGTCGGGGGAGCGCCGACGACCCCTGGGACGCGGAAGAACTGTTCACCGTCATAATACTAATTCATAGCGACGTTTGGACTGCGCTTGTGTGACTTAAAGTCGTCGATAGTAACGTCTAGTGAGCTACTGAACGACTGTTGACTTGTTTGAATCAAAGTTCAAACCGAAACGAGCCTTCACTTACCAAGAAACGGTCCAACATCAGCGGCGGTGCGAATGACCACACCACAAGGCTTTACAACCGCTAACATTAACATGAAATTCTGCTTAATATTATAGAACGAAGTAAATGTTTTACTTATAGAAAAAAACCCTGAAGTTTTTTTCACATAAGTAAACTTAATTATTAATTACTTATGTTTGGAGCGCGGCATTATACGGGTGCGAAACATGGACAGTGGGCGCGGCGGAAAACAAAAGGTTAGAAGCGTTCGAAATGTGGTGTTATAGGCGGATGATGAGGATATCGTGGGTAGAAAAGGTTAGAAATGAAGAGGTATTGGAAAGAATAGGAGAACAGAGGACTCTATGGAAGTCAATAAAAAATAGGCGAGATAGGTTGGTAGGACACCTTCTCAGGCATGAAGGTCTAGTCAGAGACATATTAGAGGCAGAAACAGGAGTTAGGAGGGGTAGAGGTAGACCTAGATTATATTACTGTTCGCAAATAGTTAAGGATGTGGGCTGTTCTAGTTTTAGGGAAATGCGAAGATTCGCTCAGGATAGGAAATGGTGGAGATGTATGTCCAACCAGTCTTAGGACTGACGACCTTATGATGAGACTTAATTAATGAATTCTTCGGGAAAGTCTTGTACCAAAGGACAAAAAGAAAAAAACCGTTATACTTCTTCTTCTGAGTAAACAATAGCTTTAAATGTGTAATGTTTTTTTATAAAAAATAAATTTGCTCCTTAAATATCTATCCAAAAAAATACGTTATTATAGGCAACCCAACGTGCGAATGGTACCATGGAATGCTTTTGGGATAACTAATTTGAAACCTACAACTTGTTTTATGAAAAAATAATTGCTGAAAGAAGTTGCTGTCGATACACCACTGACTGACGAGGTCTGCAGACCTACCTGTCGGGGAAGGGATTCTTGTATGTGTATGGGACCCGCTATATCGTTTAGTAAGTCAGCTCAGGTACCAGCAAGTAATTACCTATTCATTGTAAGAAGACGAGTTACACCCAAACTTGCCTTCTTGTACAGCATAACAATGTGTCTTTAGGTGGAACACATTAAACGCTCTAACACCTTGTTATGCTGTCAATGATGATGTTAACGGTGATTAACTCATTATATACTATGCCATTATTAGCAATAAATTGCAATTGCTGACCAAAAATTTAAATTATTACTTAATAATCGTTATAAAAATTGCAACAGAATATTAAAATATTTGCCATGCAGGTACATAATATACAAGGCAGTCAGTGAAGATAAAATTTTTTCGCCTATATAATCATAAAACACAATTAAAACTTCTCAGATTTTAGTGGTAACGTAAATAAAAACGTTATTATTACAATATTAATTAGAAATTAGTGAAATATGTTTTTAGTAATGAAATCTTCTGTTGAACAATCTCGTTAATTGTGCGTGCACACTTATATTGAGTAGTTATTTTAAAATAAAACCAAATCCATATATTTTGTTTGTTTACATATATTATTGTCAATGGAATTTTCTGTAGTATTATCTGCGTACAATTTTATGAATGAACGTAAAAATGCATTATCGTGATTGGTTATAGAAGCGGCAGCCATTCGCGTTAGTTACAACCAATCAAAAAATACCTGCCACGCAACAATTGAATATTTCAGTTAAATTTTGGTTTTCATAGTGAAATGTGTATTTTGTGTAAATTGTGGATGATTTTGATTTTACAAGGTAAAAAGTACCTTTTTGTAATTGTATGACATTTTCTTTATATAATAGTCAATTAATATTTAATCAAATCTTTTAAGAACGCCAATAGACTGCTTACATACAAATTTCAAATTCAATTCAATGCTTTATTTAGAAAGTAGCAACTATTTGTTTATTATAAAATTTGTCACGTTTTTGTTTCTGCTTAATATTCTTCTGATTTTATTAAGAAAGTCTGCTAAAAATTTCGGAAGCACTTAGAAAAATAGAAAGTATTTGATGTTTAATGATGAAGTATTATACTAGGTACCTTTCAATACCTAAGCAATAGTTTCTAACTTACCTTGTTCGACCCTTATCGTCTACATAGGTGCTTTTGTAAATCCCAACAATTTTGTTCACCATACTGCCCGAATATTCCACATTTATAACTTTTGAGCCTTTTTCAATAGGAGATTCCTTTTCGAAGGATAAAACCAAACATTCATGTGTTGGATCTTCTTCAATATTTACTTTTTTATCATCGAGGGTTGCTTTTGTTATCGTCAGTCCTTTGCTGTGTATTTTTATTTCATTAACTCTTTCTAGGACGTTTACTTTAATTTCAATTTTTCCATTGTATTTCCCAGTTGCCAAATTTGGATAAAGGAAAAGATTATAAGATTGAGGAATTATGCTTCTTGATAATCTATAATTTGCCATTTTTTCAGTCGCTGTTTTCGCTTTTATACCTTTAGGGAAGGATAAAAGTAAACAGTAAAAATCATTGTTTAAAAAACCGTTAAAAAATATGTTTGTCTAGGTTTCCTCTCTCTTTTACAACTTATATATTGTCTATCATTCAATGTGACTGCATAAAAAATGATAATGCCTACACATAAATGCACTAAGAAAAGTAAAAGATTAAAAAATCACTTAACGTTGTCATTACTGTAGATATGTTTTACAAGACACCCTGTATTTATCTATTAAAATTTTGGCATATCATTTTTGATGAAATTTTCAAAAGTGTATTACTGTAAAAGAGCTCTACGAATCCAAATAAAAAACTATCGACCTAATGCATTTATTTTATCACTACTTAGAATTTAGAAAACTTACCAAAATTTTTTAATCCTCCTAACCTAAAAACACTTTCACGATAATGCACACAATATTTTTTCAACAATTCTTTGTAAATCCGATAAAACATTGATAAAATAAGACTTTTTTAGTTTTTTAAATGTCACACACGCACATATTTTACTTTACCAGAATATTATTAATCATTACTTGATAAAATAATTTACTAACGAAATACGTTACAAACTATGCCGAAATCCTCATATTTCTCTTTTCTGTGCAGAACAATTATAAAATTAAAATTTACTAAACCAACCAAATTTTTAATACAATAAAAGTTTAATTCAAAAAAAAGTTTGCTTATATTCTTAAATTATTTCTCAAAAACTAATTTTAGGAAATGTCTAATGCAGAATGTGACGGGTCTTTTTATTAATTTGTTTTAAAATAAAGGATCGCTTAATTTTAGTAAGTTTATTTATCATTAAAAATAGAAATGTAACAAAATTATAATAAGCTGTTAGGATGTTAGGTCAGGAACACTTCTTTTAGGAAATCTGGATACTAGGCTTCTCTATTTTCTTCTAAATTTTATAAACTGTAATAAAATAATTTGCATAAAAATTTAACCCTGATAATTATGAATCGAATTTACACATAACGTGAACAGAATATTACTTATGCTAGGGCGCCGTATACCGTGAATATAGTAAATATTTGCTTATAAAAACGAATGTCTATTGACCTTAAAAAAAAGAGACGTTGCGTTATTGCTGTAAATCCCCGATATATGTGGTACTTCCCCAGTCAAAAAAACTTTTAAAAACAAACAAAAATCTCGATAACGATATTCCATTACTGTTTTATATTTGTATGTAATGTTTATTATAAATGCCTATAATATTACAATTTAGCATTCGTTAATACAAACAAATCGATAACGTGAACTGTTTTTTTCAGTTCACACTATCGAACAGACAGTCCATTACTATTTTAAAATGAGATAAACTCACTTTGCTTCCGCTTCTAGACTGCTAAGTAACTGAAATCCAGTTTCCAAAGATGACAATCCTATTTCACCATCAAAACTTGGAAAATGAACCTGTGGATTGTCTATTTCTATAACATCATCATCTTCTTCCACTTTTACTCTCACTGACCTAAAGAATTTTTCATTAGAAATATTTCAATGTTTTAAAAAACAGAAAAATAGAAGCTATACAAAAAACATCATACTTGCTTAGTTTATTTACGGGTGAAATACTTTTTGGGATTAGCAAAGTTTTGTAATGTTTATTAAGCTCTTCACAGCGTTTTTGAAGAATGGTGATGTATTTCACAATTCTTGTTTGATAATAGTCATGCAAGCCTCTCATACCACCAAATCCAAGTTCAGTTAGAACCCTTTCAATAGTGTGCTAAAATAACCAACTTTATAAAATATAAACAGTTTACAAACTTAATTTAAAACTTACTGGAAATCCACAAGAATCCCTTTCTTCATCTTCTTCAGCTAACTTTAAATGAAAAGTAATCTTTTTAAAGAATGCATCAACAACATCAATCAAAACATCCAATACACTCTGATGACTGGCTGCAATTTTCACTATTACTACAATATTACACAAAAAAAATATCAGAAGGTACTTTCAAATCCAATATGGGCAAATAAAGTAGCTACACATTTGCTTAGCAATTGTCTAACTGCTGCCTTACTTAATTCCGGCACTTCCACACATTGACCAAGTGAAAATGCCCTGCAATAACAATTATAAGTAAATATTTTCAATTCAAAAGTTTATCTTAATTTACGTAAAATCTTTGGGGATATAATTTAGATTATTCCTTGTATGTTTCCTTACTATATCAGGCATCTCAGGAATGGGAGAAGTAGCATCCTCAGGAGGTATAAGATCTGATTCTATAGCTAATTCTGCAACTCTTATCATATCAGACATATCATTTATATATTTATGTAGTGTAATAGCGTAAGACACCAGGGGATCTGTTGGCTCCAAGCTTAAAAGGAAATATAAAAAATTGGTCTGAGCACACTTTGGCCGGTGCTAATACGACTAACTTCCCATTAGATAATACCGAATTGATAGAGTACTTGCATCAGTCAATTGGTAAATACTATTTTTTATTGTTTATCGATTGTTTATAACAATTCATTTTGTTATAAACAAATTTTTATTATAATATGTTATTATAATATGTTATTCCCTGTCTTGAATAATGATATTTCGTTATTATTGATTCCGTAACTTCATTGTTGTGATTAGATTAGAACGTATTTTAATTAAATTGTTTGTAATTAATTCGTTTTTTTTTTTATAAAAAAAAAACGGCTTGACCGATTTCGTTCAAATTTCTTTCAGATCTTCATTATGATAATATCTTTCGAAAAAATTTTGGTTGAGGGCGATATCTCAATCCGTTCTTGAGATATCGAAAACGAAAAAAATGCTGACATACGAACGTACGTACATACGTACGTACGTACGTACGTACGTACGTACGTACATACACACATCATCAAAAAAATTGGCTAGCATGCTACTAATATGTTAAAACGTGGAAATATAATGAAAATTCCGATTTCACTTTTCGACCCAATTACAATAACTTCCTAATGGGAAGTTAATAACAATAAGTCCATAACTTCCTTAAATTTCAAAATGTCCTAGTAAAACCAAGTCATTGTAGTTTTGTTGTAGACCAAAATAACAATCTATAATCAATAGTCTTACAGGAATTAATTGGTTTACCTAACATATTCAATTTTCTGAGAATTATTTGTTAATGTGCAATTGTCATATTCCAGAGGTCTTATGTTATTCATTGCCATTTCTATATCTGCCGACACGTCTGGGGCAAAATTAATTTCTTCTTTGGGGATTTCTCCCCACAATTTTCTTACTTCATTGGTGCTCATTATTTGCACAAGTTTGGGCACTACCGGACTTAAACAATTCTACCAAAAAGTTCCATTTGATTAAAAAATTCTTCGTTTATTCATTCTCATCATATAAACAGCACAATAGTTGACAAATAGTATTTTGAGGTTAAAGCAAGTTTCAAAAAAGTAAAGGACATCAATATGTTACAACGGATTATATTATCTAACATAATTGTTAGAACAATTACAAGTTCTTCTAAAAAGGCAGAGGATATATCACAACTGCTAGCCAATCGGTTGTTTACTGATAAACATGAATGGGTCATGGTACAAGATAAAATAGGCACAGTGGGAATATCTGACTATGCTCAAAACGCTTTGGGAGACATCGTTTATGCTCAACTCCCTGATGAGGACACACTTTTAAAACAGAAAGACGAATGTGGTGCACTAGAAAGTGTAAAAGCTGCCAGTGAAATTTACAGTCCCATATCAGGAAAAGTGATTGTAAAAAACACTCAAGTTGAAGACAATCCCTCTCTTATTAATAAGTCATGCTATGATAAGGGTTGGCTTTTTAAGGTGGAAATGGATGATACAAATGAACTAAAGGCACTGATGACAGCAGAGAAATACTTAGAGTTCTTAAAAACTGATCCAGAAGTTTCGACTGATAAATAAATGTGTATCATTGTTATTAAATTATTCTTAGATTAATATTTTTCTATTAGTCTCGTTTTAAAGAAAATTAGTAGTACTTTTATCTCATTATTAATACGTTTACACGATTTTACAAAAAATATAAAACATTTATTCATCTATAAATTGAGGTGTTACATAATAATCAGCATACATAACTTTTTCATCATCAGCATAAATAACAAGTTGAAACCCTAACAACCCTGTTCTTCCTGTAGATATCTTTACTTTGTTAGCATAATTTAGTACTTTAAAAATTTGCCTTATATTATTAAACGAATACTTTGATACAGACTCAGTTTGGCAATTAAAGACTATTATAATATCTGGATTCTTTGAAATATCAATTTGAGTCTCACCCTAAAATTAAACAGTATTATCTATACATTACAATAAACATATTTAGTTACATTACTAAAACTCCATAAGTTGTAATCCTAAAGTATGGTGGCTCTGGACTTAAGAATAGTTCAAGTTCATCTGAATTGTGATCAATGTTTGATAAAATTTCTACAAAGTGTCCTGCATTTAAGACAACATTGTTTAAATTGCATTCCTCTGCCAGATTTACATCAGGGAACTCATCTTCAACATCCATTGTTTTTATTTCACAATCGACAATAATATTTTCTTCTTGATGCTTTAAACTAGTTTTAGATGATTGAATCATAATTTAATTATTTTATATTATCCTTACACTAGCGATAAGGGAAATCCTGGTCCTTTGTACGACATTTTCATGCTAGGATTACCATCATCACCAAAAATATGTAGACATTCTGTAAAAACTTTATGGCTAATTTTAAAGACTATGTCTTCATCACATTTGATTTTATAAACGAAAAATATGTTGGATGGAATGTAAACTGATGTTTCCACACATTTCATATCGTCTACTGTTATTTTCATGCCCTCTTCCATTATTCTCATCACTACAAACTAAAAAAGGGCAATATACATATTCACATTTTGTTAAGTGTTCGACTCACGTCTTTAAATATAATTGATTTCAGGACATTGTAAACTACTTTGAGATCCTTTATTTCCGCTAAAAATTGAATATCCATTTTAATTAGCCTAGGAAATCTCTACTTATTTTAAATTTTATAGGTTACATCGCCCGTTTGATTTAACAAGGTTATGTTTACAAAATTGGAAGTGTTTATGGGGTGGTTAGAACAAATAATAAGAGTGTCTCATGAATCCAACGTCAGAAAATGAGATACAATCTATGAAAATGATCATCTTCGTAACAAAATATGTGATTCTTCAGTAACAAAATTTGAGATTTTACCGACTTTTGATGTTGGATATATTTCTGCAAAATATCTCTTTAAGGTACTCTAATTTTAATTTGAAACTAAAGGTCATACGAAAGGTAAAACGTACTTGGAATTTACTTCTGCCATACAAATTTTAAATGAGACAACATACGATATTACTAGTATATTTTATGAAAAATTGACTGAAACTACATGAAATATTACGCATTTTCGTGAAATGTTTAAAGATGGGCAATTTATGAATCTCGCGTACTTATTAAAATTCTAACTTAAGAAGCTACAGTAATTTGAAACATCAAATGCGACAGTATTTTCTTTTTATTTATGAAATTAATGTTAAGTACAATAAGATTCCGTTTTATAAATAATTTACTTTACAAATATAGGCCTTTCGCGAGGCTATACACAATTATACTCATTTACTCTTATTTCTTATACAGATAGATACAACATCCTTATAAGCTCTGTAATAATTTATGTATTAAACTTAAAATTAAGTGGTAAGATTGCATTATAAACGAGTAACATATTGTAACTTTAGCGAGTGATGATAAAGTTCTATTATTTAAAAATAGTAACAACTATTTTAAGATAGGTTTGCTAGGAAATAAAACCAAATCCATCCTAAATTAGTGATGTTGATGTATTAAGTGTTCTCCATTAATTTCACATCTCAAGTGGACAATTAACTACAAACGCTTGTAAATGAAAATTTTAAAAAAGGACACTTATTTTATTAATCTATAATTGCTTTTGACTTGGGAAATGAACCGTATTAAGGTCATTTTATAAGGCAAATTAAGTGTAAAATACTGACGTATCTACTTATACATACATATCATACCTAATATCACAATTAAAAAATATTCGTTTGTGATTTAGAATTCTACAACTTCGAATTAACAAACAATTTGCTGGTTAAATTGTTTGTTCAAGAATATCAAGAAGGTAATTTAACAGTAAATATATTAATAAAAGGGCTAGCTACTAAATTGAAGAAAAATTTCAAAAAATATTCAAAATAAAAATTTGAGAAAGTTAGGAATCACAGTCATTTGAGTGTGATAAGTTTAATGGGCTATTAAGGTATCGTTTGTAGGCAATCACGAATTTGTTTCCAAGTTTGGAGACTCTGTAAAATAAACAATATTTTAATTTGGTATTTAAGTTTCGAGTTAATATTAAATTACATAAATACTCCAACTGGATTATAACTTTGAATAAATTTGTTTGACTCTTGTTTCAATAATAATAATTTCTTTTCAAAATCCAAACAAACATCTGAATTTCATTAACAACTATTATACTTAATAGCAATTCAGAAGGCATATGTACCATACCAATCAAATTAAATGTCTCAGAGTCTACATTTAGTCAAAAGGACTGCGGGACAAGTGTCATACGGCTCATGATAAGCATTTTGCAAATATCGTGTATTTGCATATCGTTGTGAGTGGTACCAAATGAAAGATACTCGTGCTTATATGTGCACAAAAATTAAAAGCATTTAAAACGCTAATCTTGGTACTATCCATATATCTAAAAGTACATGGATGCTTTGAGTAAAATTATTAAGTAAGACCCACGTAGCATAGACAAGCATCAGCAACCTCTAGTCATGATTAATTTAAATTTATTCAAAGTTATGTAGTTCATATTTACCAAAGTGCAGTCATTAAATATTTTCAATTTTAATTACTTTTACCTTTTTCGCCATATTAAGTTGCAAAAAGGCATAGCCTGTTAAGGTTTCTGAGAGATCTGTGAACTTTTGAGCATTAAAATGCTCAATTTCGTTCATAGCGTTTTCATTAAATTCCCTAAAGAGTAAAATAAAAATTAACATTAATATATATTACAAATGAAATAAAAAAATCTTACAGTAATTTTATTTTAGCAGAAGAGACAGTTTGGTTTCCTCGATGTATTTGTTGGTCCAACACGTTTACTTTAAGTTCTCGCACTTCATCTGTATCAACTGCCCCAAACAATCGCGACATAAGTCCCATTTTTCCTTGCTGGGCTTTCTCCTTCTCAGCTGTTTTCATAACAACGTTGTGTTGGGCAGTTTCTACCTTTAGTTGTAATAGTTCTTGGTGTTTGCAGATATTTTGAAGGGAAGTGGCAAAGAACATATACTCTTTCAATTGGTCCGCTAACAGTTCTTCATCTTCCAGAGTTGAATCTATACAAGATGCAATTGTGTCCAAATAGTGTCCTATTCTTTGCAAACTATCCCCCATTTCCCTTTCAATGGCACTCCATTCACTGAAGACACGTCCATAATTACTGTGTAATTTGTGGATTGTAAAAAGAGATTCAACTGCATGACTTCTTGCTTTCAAAAGGTTGTGTAGGTTTGTTTGTACATCAAAACTGTACTTTTTTACTTTATCAAAGTAAGGATTGGTGTATTTCAGTCTTACTGAAGTACTTAAGCCCTTTAATTTACTTTCTACAGCTTCTAAATAGCCTGAAATGCACCTCAAAAATTATAAATTATTATTATCAGCTTGTGCTATTACTTTACCTGACGATTTACAAAAGTCTTTCCAACCTTCTTCTTCCTGTAAGAATTTTAAAAAACATTTGTCCCAACACAAAACAGGATGAGCAGCTAATCTTAAAAGAAAATTCTCTAAACTTGCTCTTCTACGATCTATAAAATCAGGGTCGAATGTATCTCCAGATACTTTCTGCCAACTATACATAACTTTTTTTTCAGGTAGAGGAGGAATCACTACATAGGGATATGTATTTCTTAAGTATTCATGTAGGTGCTCAAAATCTGTATATCTTCTCCATACAGTATTCAATTTATTCAGTTTATCAAAAAATTCAGGATCTACAACTCTGTGTTTAATTTATTAGAAGCCATAAGTTCCACTTTATTCAACTACATTACCTCATTTCTATTAAATAAACTGTATAAAATTCCCTCAAGTTTAGTGCTCCATTTGTTCTTTTTTCTGACTCAGAAACATTAATATCAATGTGCTTTAGTAAAATATCCTAAAATAGGGAAAAAATAAAATTATTGTAATTAACAATTATTTGTTTATTTACTTTGTGATTGTTCAAATCACATTCTGCTTTCGCAGAAAATTCGGGCTTCGTTTGGGGTGCACTGTTTTCCATTTTTCATGGTGCTTTTCCAATTAAATATATTGAATTTAGAGTGCATAAAACATTTCCGTATGTTTTATCTGATAATTCACTATAAACTTCCTGAAATAAAAGAAAAACATTTCATAAAAAATTGTTTATAAGAAACGTGTAACCTGAAAATTTGTTGGAGTTCTAAAATTGTCAGTGGTTGTCAGTTTGACATTTCCCACAGATATGTATAATAATAATAAAGAAAGAAATATCTATGATAAGGAATTACTCAGATATATCACCCCAGGAAATGAAAAGTGTGAAATAATTTTTTATTAGAAATCAGGAATTTTTCATTGAGTTATCTGAGACAAAGCTTAATAATATTATTCTTATATCCGAAATAGGGGTAAATAAAAACTTCAAATCAGAATATCGTTCTCAATGCCTTATTTCCTTCTTATTTCAGTCGAGTACATGACTAGAAACATCTCCAGCTCCAGTATTTTATAGCGTATGACCTTGACGTTATCATTACTTGATTACTGATGTGAGCTGTAGCATATGATGGTGCTCTAATTTAAGTGATTTTACCCCAACACATTTTATAACATATTAAAAAGTGAGTCGTTGTTGTCTATTAACCACTTGTTAAATAGTACTACCTAGCTTTTAAAAAATACTTTGCAAGTAATCGAGGTAAAATGGATTTAATGAAGAATGTTGCAAACACTTCCCATTTACGTTCTGCATTTTGCCAAGAGGTAGGTAAGTCGTTACTGTTGCCTTAATTCTTTACTAATTACTGAAGTAGTAATTTGTATAGGTAATTAATTATAGGTAATGCAAGGTTTGTTCAATATTTATGATTAGATAGGTACTTACCCAATTTTTACTTAAAATATACATATAGTATAAATATGAGATATATAGGGGGTAATCTATGATACATACATTAGTTTATTCCTTGATATTTAAAAAAACAAAAAGCGATTTTGTACAAAGAGGTTCGTTTTTGGAATTTTAAATTTTTATTATTTTTATATTTACAGGGTGTTCAAAAATTTAAAACGTGCAATACCATTACAGTTGTATTGCGTAGGGCAGGTGCAGCGGAGCAAATTTAGCTCATGTGTCGAATTTTGATAGTGGAGGAAGGGGAACATATGGGGGGTGGGGTGTAGTTTGGCACATCAAAAAAATTCAATGTATAAAATTAATGTCTACTAAATGTGTATACAAATTTAAATGCAATTTTTGTCGAAAGTTGCTGTACCCAAACCGGGTGCAAGGGCAATAAAAAGATGTAGGCACCCCATAATGGTTATATGTTTACTAATCAATTCCACAAAAACATTGGCATTTGAAATGCGTTGATTGGCTTCGACTTGTATTTGAAAACATGAAATACATTATATATTATGTGTTGATTTTTTGATTAATCAACATAAACAAGAGGTCTTCCGCCGCCATTGAGGCAGGGTACATTAACAGAAATCAAAATTGATAAAATAGAAAAAGGAACTTCTACAAGAATAGGTAGGGATAAATAAGTATATGCTTTTGGCACGTATTATTACAGGAGTTCCAACATTTGTTTCATGTTTAAAATGTTATTCTTTTCCATTTCATTAAAAATTTATTTGTATTCTGAACTTTAATGTGACGTCAAATAAAAATTTATTGTTCCTATCTAATATTGCGTTTATAAACGAGTAAATGTGGACATAACTTCTAGTATGATGGGTTATCAAAAAGGTTATTACCATATTGTGACTATAGTGGGTATATTGAAAGTATTGCTTTAGCCGAATAGCCGAATCTTGAATATTCAGTTAAATCGAATAGTTATAGGGACCTATTAACTCGTATTCGTGCACCCGAGATTTCGTGGGGATTCCCCCGCTTATGTTGCCGCGCGCATAGACCGCGTAACGCTTTACTATAGGTGTCCAATTTGTCTTTAAACTCATTTTAATTTAATAAAGTTCTGATTATTTTACGATTAGATTTTTATTGAACTTCTGCTTTTAACAAACGAGTTTTTGGCATTCTGATTCTCATGGTATGATTAAAACACTCCTCGCAAATTGAATGTGAGAAGCAAATATTTAATCTGATTTTTATGGCTTTTGATAAGTTAAATTTTAATGTAGTACATGTGATGGAAGCCTGATGTCTATTATAAAGCATATCGTAATTAATTATATTGTATAAACAACTGATATACATAAGTATTAACTTTTTTGAATTTGTTGTACAACTTTTACAATGAATTAAACTAATCTAAATATTTCCACTACTTAATGTTTATTTATGATTTTATAATAGTTTAATAGAATTAAATAAAATTATATTACAAATCGTCTAATAATCGCGTTTAATTTCATTAAATTTTATTACTCCAGATCCAAGGTTTTTGTGCGAACAAATAAATAAATAAAATAATTCGGCTCTTGACAAATTAATAATTCATTTAAATAAAAAACCTTCGTATGCTTGCAATGGTACGTACCTATTATAATTGATAAGACGTGATGTTTTTTGTAATTACCTTTGTATGATAATACCTCATGTATTGGTTGGTTGATAGTCGATAATGGCAATTTCGTCAAGGATCTTAGTCGGCACATTTTCCTTCCACTTTATTATTGTCAGTTTTTCGTGTGGTGATGTTTTTCAGCCACTTTTCCGACTACTTTCTGAAGCTATTCATTAGCGTGTCCTTCCTGCTGGAAGCGAAACGGGCTTTTCACCGCGGACTCCTGGACATTTGCGTTTACGCGTTCACGTTAACAATTTAGAAAACCCGGACGTCATCTTCGACGGTCGCTCTAAGTTCGTGGGGGGCCTCCACGGGCTCTATTTATAAACGACCTCACGGTCACGTCGGTTTCCGAAGTGTGGGTAGAGTTAGTATGAGTCTTTTTACAAATTTTACGTAATAGTTCGGACTGTTCTCCTTGGATGCGCGAATACGTAGTCTAGGGGTCGCAGAACTGTCGGTGGTGTGTCGGTTTATTGAAATTTTTTGGTCACTTCTTCTGGTACCCTACACGTGATGACGAAGGAGGCAGATGTTCACCATCACGAGGTCAGTAATATGAAAGGCTACCTTTTCCAAATTCTCTTCTAGGTCAAGTTCTTTTCTTTATTATTTATTTTTAAACATTCCAGTAATTAATAGATTTGTTACTTAGTGCTATATTGTTTCACAATAAAATTGCAAAAGATTTTACAACGTACTGTTTGTTCCGTAATAAAAAACTTGATAACAATTGCAAAACACCTCTTTAAGGGTGCAAACCCAGGTCCTCTGATGCTTAATTATTATGTTGTTAAGATTGGGAAGTTTATGTAGGGCTAACAAGTAGGGCCTCTGAAACAAGACTATGTGAACATAAATTTACAGAATTGTGATTTGACCTTCACAGGTGTTTTCTCCAAGGACTGTATGCGGGTATCTACTAATTTTTCAATTAGTACTAGTCACTAACTTATGATTAGTTTTTTTACACGTCACCATTATTATTTATAATTTGTTAATGTTATTCATCTACTTATTCGAATAAGGCACCAAAATTGATAAATTTGAACTAAGAATCTGTAGTGATATGTATGCAGTAGTAAAAAGTTAGTCCTTCACTATCAATCTGAAGATTGGTTGGACACTGGTCACACACCTCCCGGTCTACCTCTGCCCCTCTTAACTCCTGTTTCCGCTTCTAATATGTATCCAAATAGCCCTTCATATTTGAATGGTGTAGTTTTCTTACCAACCTATCCGGCCTGTTTCGTATTGACTTCCATAACGCCCTCGTGTTCTCTTACTCTTTCTAATTAAGTCATTTCTTAAAGTTATACTAAATATTCATTTAGCTTTTTATATAATGTATATAATTGCTTTAGTTTCATAAAGTCATCAAATAATTATAAATGATATTTTCAAGTGTAGAAAATATTTATTTCACAGCTAATGCTACACTTTATTAAAGATAGCCCACATTACTTTTTAGTTTTAGGTCTGTAAATATGTTTCCCATTTGTAGATATACTTAATCTTTATTAAAGCATGATAATACGTGAAACACGTTAATTACAACGCTAAACGTATTTTCTAAGAACGAACAAGTTTATGTGAGATTACTCTGGGTGTGTTTAGTTTTAACAATACAGATTATATAATGTTCAATTTATTGAATGACATCACATTTTTTATTTAATTTATCTTTCTATTTGATTAATTTTATCGATGCATTTTGACTATCTATAAAGTTTATTAAATTTTGTTTTTACAATAAAACGCTCTGTATCTTGATGAAACAAACAATTTTTTTGTATTTTAATTGTAAATAATTGTGATTTTAGACTTTTTTAAAAACATGTCCTTATTTTTATTATTAGTTTCGATTTTTGAAACCTGATAACATTGAAACCTGACATCCAAAAAAAGCACAAAGTTCTACAACTTCATTATTCCTAATCCCATCAACACAGGGACTTGTTTTGTACGACTTTAATAAGCATATACATTGTATGTTGGTTTAAATATTTTTATATACAGAGTGATTGTATGGACATATTTTATTGAAAAAATTTGTTTTTTGTTGATATTTAATAAATATTCTTTTATTTTAAGGGTGGTGGTTATTTAAAAAGAGCTAATCCAACTAATCTGACCGACATATTCAACAAATATGCTTCCGTGGATAAAAATGGGGAAAAGTTCATGTCTCCTGAAGACTTTATCATTAAATATTTGGGACTGTTCGACGGAAGCAATTATAACAAAGAATCTGTGAAGTTATTAGCTGCCATAGTTAACACAAGCAAAACTGGTCTGATTTCGTATACGGAATTTCAAGCATTCGAAGGACTTCTGTGCTTCCCCGATGCACTCTACAAAACAGCTTTTCAACTGTTTGACACCAATGGAAATGGCGTTGTTAGTTATAGTAAGCATTCAATTTTTTAAAAAGTACAGTATTTGCTATGATTATTAATACATACATATATGTGAGAAATTTAGGAAAACTACAGTTTTTAACTTTGAATAGCTATTTTTTTTTGTAATATCAATCAAAGATTTTGGAACAACTAATGCGTTATTTACAGAGATGATTAGATTTTATAAAATGCTATGTGCGTTGCAGCAGTAATGAAAATTATATTTTTTGATTTCAGATGAGTTCGTTGAGGTGATGCGAAAAACGGAACTTCATCGAAGAATCCCGTTCAATATGGACTCGCCCTTTATAGAACTGTATTTTGGTAAAGATCGAAAACGACTGATCAATTATGCGGAGTTCAGTCAGTTTCTGCACGATTTTCATGAAGAGTATGCCATCGAAGGTTTTAGACGAGCGGATAAATCGGGTTCAGGTTTTATTTCTGTTATGGATTTTCAGGATATCATGATCAGCATCAAAAGTCATTTATTAACGAAACAAGTGGCGTCACATTTGATTGAGGTGGGTGGTGTTAGTGATAGTACTGCGCACGTGCAGAGAAATGTAGTAACATCATCTAAGCATGTGCAATAATTTTGAATACTAATTGTAAGAGTTTTTTTCCATGCATTTTTTGTAGGCAGCGTCTCATAATCAAAGTGGAAGCAGGGTCAGTTTTCCTTATTTTATAGCATTTAACTCACTTTTAAATAACATGGAATTAGTAAAACGTATTTACCTCAACGTTACAAACGGTAACAGGACACAAGAAGTGACCAAAGAGGAATTCATGCATTCTGCACAATTAATATCCCAACTTACCCCTTTTGAAGTAGACATACTCTATAATCTCTGCGACGTATTGCATCAAACAGGGTAATTATTTTGATCGAACTTTATTTGGTATTTTGATTTGTCTAATAAACAAAAGAAATCACGTTTCTTGTTATGCTGCTTTGGATAGTCTGTTAAATCCAAATGATAGCGGTATTTGGGATTGGTCTGTTCTTTTCTAACTTTGTCTGTGAAAAGTGAGATAATTTTAGGACTTTTTAGGAAAATAGTTTACAACGATCTCAACGCCATTGCACCTGAACACTATTTCAAACAGATCACGAGATCTATAACAAAACTTTCTGCAGTTTCGGTAAATATTAACCTTTTTTTGTACGTAAATCTTTTGATTTACAGTTTCCCTTTTAGAGTCCTGAAGACCGAGGTATATTTGTTCAAATTCTGGAAAGTGCTTATCGCTTTACTTTAGGTTCGGTGGCTGGAGGTGAGTTAAAAAAATTTGATATGATATCTAATAAATCAAAGATTTCAAGAGTTAAATTAAGGGATAAAAGTGGTGATAACAATCCCTAATTTACAAATTCAACAGAAAATACTAAAATACAAAAATTGCACTTGTTAAGTAAACTAGACTAAAAAAATGCGTAATTAGCAGAATTTTAAAGTCGAGTGCGGTTTGTCCCACTTTTTGTAACGCCCTTAATACATCAAAAAGAAAAAAAATATTGAAACGTAAAAATTTTAATGTTATTATACTTCAAAGTCTTTCTCAATATAATATGTATATTTGCATTCCATAGCCGTTGGGGCCACTGCAGTTTACCCTATCGATTTAGTAAAAACGAGGATGCAGAATCAAAGGTCTGGTTCGCTTGTTGGTGAATTGATGTACAGAAACAGTTGGGACTGTTTTAAAAAGGTCATAAGACATGAGGGAGCTTTGGGATTGTACAGAGGACTTGTGCCGCAACTTATGGGAGTTGCCCCAGAGAAAGCTATCAAATTGACGGTAAGATAGTGTAATTGTGTCTGACTGAAATCCAATAACTTATATCATTTTTAAGGTCCTGAAACATTTTGTCATCCCGTCATCCTTATCCTTATACAAGAGTTTATGTCAATGTTTACCCCATACATATTATATAACTAACTAGGAATATAAAGTAATTAAGTTTTATTATTTCAATAAATTATTTATTTTTTGAACTGTTGTGTTTAAAGAAAAGTTGAGAGGTAAGTCATTCACTTTTTTGCTTAACTTTTCCAAATTTTGATTAGAAAGAAACGTTTTGTTTTAATATTTATAGCTCAAAAAAGTAGTATGATCTTTTTAAAGTGTAGTCTTGAAAAGAATATCAATTAATTTCGCTGTCAATGATATTATTTTTTAGTATTAATTTTTAGATTTCTGTTGTCCTGACAGGTTAACGATTTTGTAAGAGACAAATTTTACGACAAGAAAGGCAATATTGCATGGTATGGAGAAGTTATTGCCGGAGGTTGCGTAAGTTTCTTTTTTTGTTTTACCTTTAATAGACATAAAAATGTTTATGCTAATTTTAGGCTGGTGGTTCACAAGTTATCTTTACTAATCCTCTGGAAATTGTTAAAATCCGTTTGCAAGTAGCTGGAGAAATAGCTGGAGGACATAAAGTTCGAGCGTGGCCTGTGGTTAAGGAACTCGGTCTTTTTGGTCTTTACAAGGGAGCTTCAGCGTGCCTCCTACGAGATGTCCCGTTTAGTGCTATCTACTTTCCGGTTTACGCTCACACCAAGGCTGGTTTAGCAGACGAGAATGGTTATAATCACCCATTAACGCTCTTGCTAGCCGGTGCTATTGCGGGTGTTCCCGCAGCGTCTTTAGTAACTCCAGCCGATGTAATCAAGACTAGGTTACAGGTAGTAGCTCGAGCTGGTCAAACTACGTACAGCGGTCTTTGGGATGCTGCGAAGAAGATCAACAAAGAAGAGGGATTTCGAGCATTCTGGAAGGGAGCAGTAGGTTTGTATCTGTATATTTATAGTACGATACTGATTTTATGGGTTTGGTATTTTACCTTTCAGCTCGAGTATTTCGTTCTTCTCCCCAGTTTGGTGTGACGTTGTTAACATATGAGTTGTTACAACGATTATTCTATATTGACTTTGGCGGAACGTATGTATTTTTGTTTGTTAAATCAGTAATACAGAAGAAATGTATGATTTATTCTTATTTTCATTCTTTCTACCTTGTTTTAGGAGACCCACGGGATCCGAACAAAAAGTACCTGTGGGAATAGTGGCTGGTCAACCAGTAAAGAATCCGAACCATATAGGAGGATACGAAGCTGCCATACCGATATTCTCAGGCATAGAAACGAAATTTGGATTATGTTTACCGAAATTTCAAGTCCCAAACACGTCCTAATCGTAAATAAAATCATTAGTTATTTTTAAATTGAAGGGCGTCAAGCCACTGTCACCAATTTGTACATACCGATTAAAAAAATATCTGCCCATTTCAAATCAGGTTCTAAGCACAAACACCAGATCAGTTTCAGTTACGTATTTGTAGAATTTATCATGTGCTCGTTATAAACGTGATAAAATAGTGAAATTATGCTTGTTGTAAATAAAAGTTTATTAAATATATACACCTTTTATTTACTAAACAAAAAAAAAAAGAAATGAGGAAAATAATCATTCCAAGTAAGGTTTAAAAAGATATTTTTTACTTGAATTAAAAAGTATAAAAGTTCTGAATTAGTTTTATAATTTTATAGTTTTTATAACAAAAAATCTATTGTTTTATAGTGTTTGTACTTTTAAGCTGCATAGCTAGATAATGATGATTACTAAGGAAATAGAAATTAGAACATATCCCTAATAAAATATTTTAATCAAGTAGTGATAATATTTTTTAATTACATATTAAATTGATCAATGTTTAAGCTTATTACACCTTAAGATTATACATTACATATTCGACAAATTTTCTTTTAAATGCTGGATCTGATACTTTCAGTAATTCCTGAATTTCTTGATTATCACAGATGGGTTCAAACTTTTTTGTGACCATCTCAGAAAGGGGTATGTCGTAGTATAAACGCACTTTATTTTTAAAAGTCACATAAACTAGACAGGTAGAGGGTGATGCCCCAGGTGTGAGGGTATAATGGCCACTACAGAATGCTTGAATTGATTCTCCCACTTGGAATCTTACAGAATTTCTATCTTGATCCAAAATATATGTGTAACCATCCCAGGTGCTTGCAATTACATCATCTGAATTCTTTTCAGTTATGTCAATTTTTTCTAGAGCAAATATTTGGTGGTCCACTGCCATTGCCCATAAAATTACTTCATCTTGGACCAACATAATGGTACCATCAAGTGTAGCTAAAGAGTAGGGTTTACTTTTACTACAATTATCTAAATCATGTGAAGTTTCTTGGAGGTGCTTATCAATCAAAATCCTTGGGTTATTTAAGTCACCCAGTATTTCTGTGTGAACAATTTGATTTCTCATCCGTGAGATCCCAAGAAATTGATAGTCCACTGCAGACTCCATCGATTTCTCACTTCTTGTCTTTGTAATGTTCAAATCTTCAAATTCATCAGTCAGCGATAAGTTGATGGGATCTTCAGAAGTAATCCTCATAAAAGTTCCACCTGGTTGGGACACTAACAGGCAAGGTTTGCCTGTTAAAGAGTGATGTAAAGTTATAGAGCCAATTTGGTTGGCACATTCCCATTTGTTAAGACATACTAACTGACCTGAAAGCAGTCCTGTGTTGTTGTAAACATTTCCTAATTCAGAAACAAAATGATCAGTCTTATAGTCTTTCCCCAGCCACCTGTAGGAACGTACAACTCTGTCAGTAAGCCCAAAAACAATTTCTGTTAGACCATCTCCATCAATATCACCAATAACAACATCCATTGTATTTGGAGGTATTCTCTGTACATGAATACATTTCAGTTTCAAATTTTGACTATCTGTTTGTGGAGTTTGAATATTTTTATCACTGTCAGTACTTCCACTAGACATTACTTGACCATCAGTGATATCAATATCACTATTTTCAAGTTTTTTACTTTGCGGTGGGCAATAATAAATGTGACACCATCCATCAGCAGTAATAACAACTAAACAGTTTTGATTTATGTTCAAAATATCGCCAATACCTATGCACGTTATGAAAGAGAAGTCGCCAATTTTTTGCCATTTATTGTTATACTTAAATACTTCCATTTCTCCGTCTTCATTGCCAACAACCAGTTCAATGTCTCCATCGTTATCAACGTCTCCTAATGTTAATGCGTTGCGAGCAACGTTTCCAGAAAAGCTGAATTCTAGTTGACTAACTAATGATATCGACCTCATTATTAGTACAGTAATTGTTTTTGCACTGAAGCTTGAAATATGAGTACATAATATTACTTCTTGCATTACCTACTTCAAAAACACTTTGGTGTTCATTTGGAATATTTTAAATTAATTTTTCATGTCTTGTAATTGTAATAAAATAAACGTACATTTTTTAATGCCTCTACCGAATATGACAAGTAGAAATGTTAGGTTAATAGTGCAAAATATTCTCAATATTAATTATAAATGGGTATTTAATTTGTAGAAGAAACATAATTCAGCATATAATTGGTCGTGAATTACATGTTAATGATTAATTTAATAGTAAATGTAAACGGTATTAAAAGACAACAGTCGAAGTAAGTTATAAGGTTGGGATACTTAAATGATGCTTAAATGCTTAACTAGACCATTAAATCAGATTGTATTTGTAAATCACTTATTGTAAAATTTGTGAAACATAATAAGAAGAATTAATTAATATATTATAAAGATAAAAAGATAGAAATTTAAACAGTAATTTAATTGTTATTAGCTAACATGCTAAAAGAGGTCGCTGGGGTGTTGAAAAAAAGTTTATAATTATTTAGTTAGTTTGTATAAATTTCATAAGGTGGCAGTGGCTTGTGCGAAGGTCTAAAATTATTCGTAGTTGAATACTGAAAATCTCGGTAGGTGGCAAATAAGTGCTAAGAAATAGATATAATCATAGATGGTAAAATAATTTTCGTATTAATGGAAGCTACTTTTTGTGTACTTTCATTTTCTACTTCTATGTTTTATATAGTTTTGATAAGCGTGGTTCGGTTACTAAAATGTGTTGGAAGAATGGGTCCAAATTCGTAGAAAAACGAGGCACTAAAGGTAGGATTTCTTTAAATTTCATTCTTTAAATGGTTGTTACCAAAGTATGTACCTTTTTACGGTACATTTAGGTACTAAAATTGGGTAACAAAGGTACGAAACATGTTTCGGCGTTCCTAGGCATGAAGCCATTTTGTTATATCTTATAACATTGGGACCATCTATGGGGACCATTGAATTGAGGATTAAAATAATAAATGAAATGTAATTAGGGAATTAACAGCATTTATTAACTTTCTTTGGTTTAAATTCGCAACATAAAACTAGGTACAGAAATCGCTCTTAGGAAACAACATAAAAATTAAAATTACGTGTTATAACGAACACAATATTATATCATAGGTATTCATCTTTTTAGACGTAATCCGAAATGCTCCGCCATCTTAGGGTAAATCTTATCAATATGGTACATCATCATATACTTTTAAAGTCATTATAAAATAACAAATATTTCAATAGGCATGACTTTAGAATATTATTTACAACTCTTTACATTACATTATGTATGTATATTAGTTTAACGATTTTGAACGATAATAAATCTAGCCGGAAATCGAGCTTACTAATTTTTCGCTCTTGAAAGGAGCCCAACCAATTTTTTTTGTCTATTTATCTATTATTATTTATTCTAAAACGACACTAGGTACTTATAATAGATTTAGTCCAGACAAATTGTTGGCAACACGAATCCTGAGTTCTTTCAAAGGCCTAGGCCGGAATGAGAATATTCTTAATTGAAAAGTATAATAATTTAATTAAAATTTACAAAGGTAGAACTGTAATTCTAATATATAACCCAACAATATTACCATTATGTTCAATTTTAGATAAAAATATTTTGTAGTTCCACAAGTAACAAAGCAAGGTCCTTGTGCCTTTTTCATATTTAATTATTTCATTCAGTTTAACATTTTGCCTAGACCATCATAGACTTCTTGAGGTTTACATCACCATCTGATTAGTCTTTTGAATCAATGTTTTACAATATTTGTTCTAAATAATAGATGATAATAATAATAATTACAATAACGTGGTAATTTCTTATCAAATAGGGATCAATTTTATTGACTATTAGCATTAAGGAAGAATGAATTATACGATACAGTAAAATTTGACAATTTATTAGTAAAACGAATATAAAAAACGTATCATTAGAAACATTTAATTGTTCAAAAACGCGTTAATAAATAATTTGAAAAATTAACAAGCGTTTAAGATTATGTATAATGAAGATTATTTTTTTTCTTTGATTCTATCACAAGTTTAGTGTATATACACGATTTTGGGAATAATGTGGATATTTTTACATTTTAGTCGAGTAATAAACAATAGGTAAAAGATGAAAAACAAGACAGCACTTTTGACAAACGCTCTTAGAATATGTTATCTTGTACTACACGTTTCAATTCTCAGCATTGCTTCTATTTTTACAGTCTTGTTTTGGTATTTTTCTGGATACTACAATACAAACTGGACCTCGAACTATTCTTAATAAATCAATTATATCATTAGTGTTCATATTTTCTACACTTTCGTCATTGACCTGTAAAAAAGGAACATTGCACAGTTACTTAACGAATGTATGTACAAATGAAATTTATTTTCCTTGTATTTTGCCGTGGCACAGAAAGTATTTTCCTCGAAATAATCTACTGCTCGCACAAAGGACTTGTTAAAAGAAAAAAGGTCTAGAGTAAAACCGTTTATGGTGTTTCCAAAAATTGATTTTCTTTGAAAAAGACGAAACATGTTGCTTTATAAAAAAATTTCTTTTACTGAAAGCAATTTTTTTTCCTTTAAATCAAGAGCAGGTTGAAGAATTAATTTTGGGAGACATTTTGCTGTTGTGTGTTTTTATTTGTTTACCAGTTTTTACACGCAGCTTAACTCGCATTGATGTCCTAAATACGTGTCAAAGGTCATCGATGACCACATACACTTAAGTCTTCTATCCCTCGGGATAAAAGATACTCTATGCCCTTTTTTGTACCCCTAATAATGTTTGTACAAAATTTCACGATAGGTTTTTCTTCCTTCTTTGCCTTCGCTCACGCTGATGTTCTAAATATGTGTCAAAAATCATCGACGACTACATAAAACTAATTTTTCTATCCGTGGGGAACAGTTTTTTTTTTTAATGAAAAGTACCCTATGTCCCTTTTTGTACCCCTGAAAATGTGTATACAAAAAAAATTCATGACAGGTGTCCTAAATACGTGTTAAAGATCATCGACAACCACATAAAATTAATTTTTTTTTCTATCCCTCGGGAACAATATTTGTTTTTTGGATAAAAGGTACCCTATGTCCTTGTCTGTATTCCTGACAATTAGTGTACAAAATTTTATGATGATCGGTTAAGTAGTTAAGACGTGAAATGGTAGCAAACAAACATTTCCATTTATAATATTAGTTGGATTTACCCGTTTGCTTTGTAGTTTATCACGAGCGTCTGCAGCTTTTTTTTCACGAGGAGGAGGGGGGGGCAAATAGATTTTTTTTGTTGTATATCATATAACATTTGTTTTTATACAAAGGTAACAAAACAGTATATAGCGACCCCCTTTTTAGGAACAAATTGAATTAAACTAAAGCAGAAAGATTTTTCTTCATAAAGCGATGTATTAATCTAAATTTTAAAAAAGACCAAGTACTGTACAAAAAAATCGTACAAATGTATAAAACATGAAAATCTCAGGAGGGTGAGGGCACGGCTCCCTGCAGGCGTCTGTATGGTTTATGCATGTATGTACTGATCGAATATATGTATAGGAAATGTAGGAAATGGATTTAGTAAAGAGTAAAAATCAGTTTAATGCAAATTTGGCGTTCAAGATGGGTCATTGGAGATTTTTGGAGAAGTGAATATGAGAGATGTCCCTAGGAGCGTTTCAATGGCACGTCTTTCTGCCAGTGGGTGTGAAGGCTGGCCAAATAGGACTGGATTCTAATTAATTCGAATTTGAATATCATATTCATTTAGATATAATTTGAGTATTTTTCACTAAAAATATGAATTTTATGGATTTTTCAAGCGATATTAGAAAAATTATTTCATGTCCTTATTATGTGCATTAGAATCTATCGAATTCGATTCGTCAATCACCAAGATCGATCAAGAATTAGCTAATTAGTCAAATTATATTGGTTAACTTTCGCTTCCTTGCGGATGATCTAGACACGGAATCGAAAAATATCCCACTGAAGCATTCTGTAGGGACATACCCTCTATTCATATCTGGAATAACCTTAGATGGTCCATCTCGAAGGACAAATTTGCATTAGAGTGACTTTTCGTCTATGGGCAACACAAAAACTCGGAAATAAATAATAATAATTTTTAAATACCTTTATAACACGATCACCCGCCCTTAATCGCCCATCCTTGGCTGCCACACTGTTCGAATGAACGGCGCTAACAAAAGTGTTTCCCGTTGTTCCCTGAAGACTGAATCCTAACCTACTGTTCCAACCCCTATTCAGTTCTATCGCGAGGATCTGCAAAATAAACACATTACTTATATTATTGGGATTACCCTGTATCTCAACAAAAGCAACTTAATGCGAAATCATTTGCACTATATGTATTTTAATTAAAATTATTACATTTTATTTTAATTAAAACAATATTCGTTATTAAGTGGACGAAACATGCGTTCATATTGAGATTTCTCTTGAGGGGTAAGTTCTTTTGTTGTAATTGATTTTGTATAGTTCTTGTCAGCATTCTTTGCGTGGGTATGGGGTAATCTATGCAGTACTACAGTCGAAACTGGGTAAGAGAGAGCTCAAGGGACCGTGATCTGTTTCTCTCTTATAGAGGTTTCTCACTAACCCGAGTGTCTAGCTTACAGAGTTATAGGAGGAATTTGTCTCACTTATAGAGGTCTATAAAAATACGGTTCGACAACACATCGAGTTTTCGTTTAGACATTATGAGGAAGTACAGGACCTTTCTTCGCAACTGCTTTTATGAACTGACTGTAATAAGATTGATAAACAAGTCGGTACGCACATTTGGCTATAATAAAATAATAAAGACTTACTCGGTCATTCGCAGATTTGGTCTTTCGAATGAAATAAGAGTCTCTTAAAATTTAAGAACGAGTCATAAAATAGTAAAAGTAAACTGTCGCTTATAGAGGTATAGACAAGTAGCAATCTCACTTAAAGAGGTTCACGCATGAAAAATGACTGTCACTTATACAGGTTTTATGTTTCTCACTTATAGAGGTTTTAGAAGGGCTTTCCTCGCTTACCCACTTCTCACTTATCCAGGTTTGACTGTATTAGATTTTTTCTTGCTCAATGACTCACAACATATCAATCGATACGTTGTAAAAAAAACATGATTACTCCCATCATGCGAATAGTCGATCTACGTCAACTATTAAACTATACTGCAGTTATGTCGTACGCGTAAAGAACGCTGGCAACAGCCATCATTGTTTATTTGTTGTTAAATATACCTAATTGTAAACCTACTTGTTCAGATTCCTCTTTACTAGTGTCATTTGTGTTTTGGGCAATTTCCGGTGTCTCCTTTTTCGTCTTTCCATCGGCATCAAAAACAACCCCCTTCCATTTTTGCATCTTTCCTTCCGATTTTTTAGCCTCCTTGTCGGACTCGGTCGTTCCGCCACTGGGAGTTTCGGTACCGCATTGGGGATGAGCAGACTGGTAGGCGGGATTCTTATGACTAAATTCCGGATTATCTACGGGGATATGTGGCATGCTGACGGGTTCCTGGGGGAAGCTATCGGTGCTCTCTATCTCCGCGCTTTCGACGTTATCCTTGAGCGTGTAGGCTAAATTGGGCGCGTCCAGGATATCGGCATCTAAATTGTTTAATTCGTACGCATTGTGCGCGAGGGAGAAATTGAATTTGGGTTTTCGGGTGATGACCGGCGTGCCTTTGGAGTTGCACAAATCCAAGGAATTTGGACGCGAAGGTTTGTCGCTGCAGTCGGATGTGGTAAACAAGGAACTGAAGGGGTCGTCTTCGAGTTTGTTGGATTTTTTTAGGAACGCCTCGTGAAATTGGTCGTCGTCAGCTATGTAACGGTCCGCGGGATCGGTGATTTGCGAAGCGTTTGACGGGAACATCTGTCTCCGGATTCTTCGGGGCGACGAAGTCGGCGACAAACAGTAAATGTCTTGGTTGCTTATTTTACGTAATGCTATGTCATTCAGCATATCTACGGCCTCTTGTCTAAAATTAAACGATAACGTTGCGTTTATGGGGGCTTAAGGGGCCAGAGTCTTAAAGAAATCAGTTTAGCAGAAAAAATAATGAATAACTAATTGCATCGGGCACTTTTGGTATTGAAAATTAGACGAAAAATAAAAAGCACTTTTACTATTTTTAAAATGGTCAAAGGTTGGTCTCCAACTGACTCAGCCTATGCTGATGTCAAGTATTTCAAGTAAGAGAGGAAGATTATTTTCAAAAAAATTCTGAAATGTTTTCAATTTAATCCATTAGTAACTTCTAGTCTTTAGTAAAATAATTAATTACCAAACTTCTTAAGAAAGCATTTTTGGACATATGTCCATATGAAACACTTTTGACCTTTTGGTTTCAAAGATTATGTTGGTCTTAGAGTTAGGTCAAGACCTTTAATTGCACCCGGTATATTGATTTACTTTGTAAATAATTGCAACTGGCTCAAAAATCGTCAAAAGGAAAACATGTTTTGGCATTTTGCAAAAACATGAAATGTGCTTTTCCTGTGACATTTTTAATATCGTCTGTTTGTAGGTATTTTACGATGTAGTAAAGTAAGTAGTTGAAATAGACAGATACCTCAGATGCGCCTTCTTTATAAAAGAAGTCCTCGGTGTCGTTTCGTTAGGCGATAACGTCGAGACGGGCGTCTGTGCGGAATCCCTGTAAAGTCTTAATTTAACAACGTCTCCGGCTTGGCGTAGGAACTGAACGGCTTGTTCGTGAGACATTGCCGATATTTCGACGTCGTTAACCTGTATAAGTCGAGAACGGGAAACGTTAAAACGAAATAATGACGGTTAAAAAAGAGGAAAAAAAAATAATAAGAAAGAAAAGAGGGACTGGAAATTACCGCGATTATTTTATCTCCTGGTTGTATCCTGCCGTCGGAAAGGGCTGGTTCTCTAACCAGAGCCCTGACGTAGTGCCCCAGGGCGCTGTCATCTTCTTTGCGTAACGTGAATCCCAGCGAGCCCTGGATCTTAGTCATTGTGATGTCGAATTGCTGTGAAATTGGGAATAGACAGTTTTGAAAAATATCCCTCATAAATACGATCAAATAACGAAATTACAATTTTTTAATCGTTCGTTAGGTCACATTTATACTTAATAATAATAATAATAACGATGAAAAAGTCGGTTGGAGTTGCCTCCTAACAAATACAAGTCCACTTCCAGAATCGGAGATGGAAGGACCTTTGAAGAATTTCGCCAATCGTGCTAGCGAAACGTTAGGAAGCAACTCCACCAATATCATAAACACAGAAAAGAGATGTCAGGTAGGAGTTGCAGCGGACACAAATAAACAAAAAAGGCATAACATTACACCAACTGATGTGTAACAGAAAGAGATGCATGTTGCCAGCATCGGACTTTAAAGAAAGTTTAACATTCTTAGGAATTTAGGGAAGTAAGACGCTTATTTAAAGATATAACTCCAACCAGGTAGTTATAAAGCCGATTTTGACCTTTTGCGTATCAGCCTCTAACCGCTGCACCGCTTTTTATTGTAGCGAGCACGAGTGTGTTTGTGTGCGATCGGGCACACGTGTGCGTGAACGGCTTATCGATTCGCCGACTAGCCGTGGGCGCTTTTCTTCATGTGCGCCGTATTTGTAACTGTGTGTGTCGTACCTGCGTTCTGGGAAAGCAGTTAAACAGTTCAAACAAAAAAGAAACTTTCCGGACGTTTCGAGAAGGCTCCCGAAAGTAAACAAAAGAGTGTTTAAAGGAAGATCGCCGAAAGAAGAAGAAATAAATTGGCCATTGCAGAAGTGAATCCAGAAATAAATTGACAGTCATAGCAGTGAAATAAATAGCGCAGTGAATAGTGATATATTAATAGTAGTGTAAATAAATAGAATAATTCATAACCTAAGTTTAGTAATAATTTAACAGTGTTTTTAAGTTCTTCAATAAATTAGTGTAAATAAATAGTTTTTGTCGTTATCAGTCTTAGAAGGTAATTTTGTTAAACCCACGAACATTACACTACTATCCGGTTATCTCTTTTCACTTTGTATGTACTCATGAAGCAATTCCTAACTCATGCAGCAAATGACTACAGACTCAAGTGGGAACAAGAAAGAAGATACGTTCGGTCTCACAGATAATTTATTGTGGACTATGCCATTTTTGATCGTCGCAACTATATATAGGTACAATAAAAGTAATTGAAATGACGAACTGAATTAATATACGAAAAATAACGTTATAGACTGATTGTGATTTTTGAACCAATTAAATTTCTATTCATAGTCAATTCATGAAATGAAAGGATTTGATGTTTTATGAAGATCATATTATTAGGATTTGTTTAGGTGCTTTAAACGAACAAATTTCCGGTTGCATCGAAATCGGTTTATTTATAACGAAATCGATTAAAATAGCAAATGGGCCACGATGCAAACAGCTCTTTTGTTTTTAATCGGTCCAATCTATTGTTGGAGTTTCGATTTGGTGTTCGATCAAAGCACACAATTGGCACTTCTCCCTGTTTCGCAACTGCCCTATAATTAGCATTATTTGTCCGGCCCTTGTCATGTTCTTTATATTCGACAAATGATCCCAACACTCCAAGCGCCTCTTTACGGCGTTATGCATATGTATTCCGTCCAATTTGTAATTGAAAATTGAAATTTCAATCCCCGACCTCGCTTCAAAACACCGAGCGATATATAACCAGAATGTATTGTGAACTACTCTATGTTTTTATCAATTTTGCCAAAACGACTACATAATGTTAGCTTTTCTGAAAAGCACTCGGAAGTAAGATGAAATTTTTTAAAAGATTTAGTGCATCTTTTGGACTTTAGAGAAAAAGTTTGTGCAAAAACTGCATAATAGAAAACTGTTTAAAATTTAAAATTATAAGAAAAGGTTTAGATTATTTAAAAACGTTTTATAATTTTGCAACGAGGATGTGAGTTTTTCTTTTTATTTTTTGATAGTTTACAGCCCCTCTGGTGTTTCAAAAAATTGAAAATAGGCGTATTGTTGAAGTATGAAAAAGGTTCGTTTTTTCATCGAGACGTTGAATATAAATCAACAACGTATGAGCCTTTGGGAATTTTCCTTGGGGAATAAGGGGAAAATAATAACAAAGCCGATAACACAAAGAAAAATACAATCTGAGAGAACTGCAGATGTGTTTTTTTGATAAATAATCCTACAAAATATGACAATAATATGCTATAGTATTACTTAGTTTCAATCGAGTGATTTGATATTAGAAATACTGTTTCATCTGTTTAATGTTTTCCACGCATGATATGCATGTAAGAACTTAGTGAGAGACAAATTAAGTACTAGAATTTTCCCTTATAACGTTGAATAAATAAATAATCATTTCTGTGCTCGCTAACAGTTGCTTTAGAAACTGAGAAAGTATTTATTCTTAAAATTGAATGATTCTATCGTACTTTACTGCTAAAGAGTGGAGGTCCGTGTCCAATAGTTTTCGAACTGATGATCTTGTGAAGATTATCATAATATAGATATCACTTGGGCTATCGTTTAAAAGGACTTGGTATGGGGAATACAAAATCCATTTTAATATCCATCGTAATATTTTTTTAATGTGTATGAAAACAAATATTATATATATATATTTTTTAGTAAATTTTCGTAGAAGGGTTATTTTCATTTCCAAATATACTTTTGACTATTATTATTTATTACTGGTGGAGTTTTCAGAGTTGAATAAATTTTATCGTGTGAGTTTTCTTACGTTTGTTAATGGCTTTTATCGGGGTGATGATGTGGCGGAAAATGTCATAAATGAAATGAAAAACAACTTACCCCAGTGAACATTTCATCGTCAAGGAAGAACTGGTTGGGGGGTGGTGATAAGCTTAGACTAGAAGGTAGATCTCGCCGCGGGGGCGGGGGAGGAACTTCGGAAATGGGGCTGACGCAATTTAGTACGTCGGCAGGAGGTCGACATACTCGTAAGTCGACGTGGTTTGGCGTTGTCCGCAGGACTTCCAGCGCTTCCTGGAACGTAAAGAGAAAAGTGCAATTTTTTTATTCTACCCATTGAAACTATGAAACAATAATGGTACATTCAAAACTACCCCTAAATCATGTAGACATTTATATACTGTATTCAACTGTCTTAAGTTTCGTGACTACTAGGGTCAATTGAAAAGTCCCCGGCCTGACACATAGATGGCGGCACCAGAACTAAATCCATATGATTTTCAGTTAGTCCTAATCTTCAAAAGACGCGTCTATAAATTTGACGGCTGTCGGATCATTAGTTTGTGAATTATAGCATTTTTAGTGAAGCAACTTTTGTTATTGTGAAAAAAATGGATAAAAAGGAATTTCGCGTGTTGATAAAATATTGCTTTTTGAAGGGAAAAAATACAGTTGAAGCAAAAACTTGGCTTGATAACGAATTTCCGGACACTGCCCCAGGAAAATCAACCATCAAGGATTGGTATGCTAAGTTTAGACGTGGTGAAATGAGCACCGAAGACGGTGAACGCAGTGGACGCCCAAAAGAGGCTGTTACGGACGAAAACATTAAAAAAATCCACAAAATGATTTTGAATGACCGTAAATTGAAATTGAATGAAATAGCAGACACTCTACAGATATCAACGGAACGTATACATCACATCATTCACGAATATTTGGGTATGAGAAAGCTCTGTGCAAAGTGGGTGCCGCGCGAGCTCACTTTTGACCAAAAACAACGACGAGTTGATGATTCAGAGCAGTGTTTGAAGATGATCACGCGTAATAAACCCGAGTTTTTGCGTCGATATGTGACAATGGATGAAACATGGCTCCATCATTTCACTCCGAAGTCCAATCGACAGTCATCGGAGTGGACTGCACACGATGAACCCGCTCCAAAGCGTGCAAAAACGCAACAGTCGGCTGGCAAGGTTATGGCGTCTGTATTTTGGGATGCGCGTGGAATAATTTTCATTGACTACCTTGAAAAAGGAAGGACCATCAACAGCGACTATTACATAGCGTTATTGGACCGTTTGAAGGACGAAATCGCCGAGAAACGACCGCATTTGCAGAAAAAGAAAGTCCTGCTTCACCAAGACAATGCACCGTCTCACAAGTCAGTGAAAACGATGGCAAAAATTCATGAATTGGGCTTCGAATTGCTTCCGCATCCACCGTATTCTCCAGATCTGGCCCCCAGCGACTACTTCCTGTTCTCAGATCTCAAAAGAATGCTCGTTGGGAAAAAATTTTCGTCGAATGAAGAGGTGATCGCCGAAACTGAGGCCTATTTTGAAGCAAAGGACAAATCGTACTACAAAAATGGTATCGAAAAGTTGGAGGATCGCTATAATCAGTGTATCACCCTTGAAGGGAATTATGTTGAATAAAAAATACGAATTTTGCAAAAAAAATGTGTTTTACTATTTTAGGCCGGGGACTTTTCAATTGACCTGTTATTTCTGAAATGCCTGGGAAATGCCACTTTTCTTGGGAAAAATTCCTTTTTTCATTAATTTTCATAAGGATAGTGTTTGATGACTTTAAAAAATAGTAATCAATTAATTATAGTTACGTACGTAATTCGTTAGGCCTATCAAAGAGATGCCGTTGACTTCGAGCAGTAGGTCTCCAACATGTAAAAGTCCACAGGCGGCTGCCGGTTGTAACGGGAATAGTCTTTTAATCCTTATTAATCCCGGCCATGACCCTCCGCTGTCGGTGCCTCCTGTTACACTCAGACCGAGACCTCTAGATCCTTTCACCAACGACACTTCAAACGTGCTATCTGCAAAGAAAAACATTCCCATGTAGCATTCACGACTCGTAATTTGTCTTATTCAAACTGAACGATGAAGTGAAATAAACGAGAAGTTAATTTGTTAAAATCCCTTTAGCATTTAGACGACGTAGCCGCAGACTTCTTATTAACTTAATTTACGGGTTAATGTGTCGAAGATATTTGCAAAAACGCAAAACCGCAAATAGTTCTATAGGCGATCGATTCATCGTGTAGGATAGAGGACTTTATCAATGTTATTATATACCTATTCCAGTTGGAAATAAACAACTGGAAAAATGTAGACGGGTCTAACTCTTGTGTACAGTTGGTTGCATCTACATATTTATATTCTAGTAACGTTTTACAACCATCAAATTTGGGTGTACAATTGACTACATATACATCAAGTTGAAGGAAATTTTTTATTTGTACCAACTGATGATTATGCATTGTTAATCCTTCTTTAGGCATTTTGGGAATGAATGGGTGGTAGTCAGGGATATATATAGACGAAATCGACGAGATTAAGACAGTAGATTAATGAAAGACTTGAAACTACAGTAAAAATTGTTCCCGAATGCCAGATGATTATACATATCAAGGCACTCACAAGGTTTCATTGAATGGAAAATGTATACTTATATGTTAGGCTCAAACTTGGAAGTTCACTGGGCGGCATGGTCTTGAGGTTTATTACATATAGATCGTAGATTAATAATCGGGAGAATATTGGCTCGATTCCGAATCGGCTTGCCTTAGTCTTAGTTTTCCGGTAGGTTCATTTGATCGTATATATATGCAGGCAAATGCTTAGGAAGAGTGATATTCCACAAGTATTTCGATCTAGGTGAAAATGTACCGAGCGGCATGGCCTAGAGGTTTAGACCATTGCTTAGCATTCGGGAGGACGCCGGTTCAATTCCGGGTCCGTCTGCCTTGGTCCAAGTTTTTCTGTGGTTTCCTTGGATCACTTAGGCAAATGCTGGGGCAGTAATATTCCACAGATAATCTTTCATTCTCTTCTGTCTTCATTTCGTCCGTCTCATCTTTCTCACCCGAACCACCACCCACCCATTCCCACGATTCCTGAAAG